CACACCTTCTCAGCCGTGCTGCTGTGCAACTCTGAAGAATATGCCACAGATGCACAGCCAAGGGGACAGCCAACTATTCACTGCTTCAGCGGCGGTCCTGTTTTGTTTGCAATTTGTTTGGTAGCAGTACTTAACGCAGCACACGCAGGCGCAGTGGCACATTTACAATAGGACCCACGTTACTTCTCCAATGCCATCTCCTGCTCTGTTGGACATGAGAGTTTTTATGCGCCACCACACAGGCTGGACCACACGTCTCCAGGGAGGACATTGCTGGCAAGTCGAATCCAACCTTGGACAAACGATGTGCCAGCCAATGCAAGGCAGCACAAACTGCTTTCGATGCAAAACCAAACACCAGGCAGCTTCACATAAGGTACAGCTTTACCGGCGACATGAAGAATACCCAGCCTGGCTGTTGCCATTGGCTGTTCACAATTTGGATGGTCGTCAAAATCTGTTCAAGAAATATCTGCTCAAATCGTGAGCATTCACCGATCCTTGGCTCAAATTCAGCATGGCAACAAGTAAAGTGGCTTTCTCTGTGCAGCATCCATGTCTCTCAACAGTATCACCGTGAGATATGCAGTGTTACAGGATGTGCTGGCCCCTTATCATCTGTAAGCCACCTTCCTTCGAACAACGCATGAGGTGAATGCTGCTGGAGATGGTCTCACCACTGGGGTGGATGTGCATGCTAAGGAGGCAAACACGACAGCAAAGCCGAACGCTTGCACTGCTTGTGGCAGAAAAACTGGTGACATGGGCAAGGCGTGCACAGCGCAGACATCAACTGGAAAGGGCATGGCTGCTGTGGAAGTTGTTCACCTGCCAACGGCTTCTGTGCTCCCGCTGTGGCCCCCAAACTGGAGCCACACAGCCGCAGCAAGAGCGTGCTCAGACGCTGCCTCCCATCCACAGTGACTGTGCTCCACCAGAGCAAGCTGAAACTGCAAAAGCGCAGCCTCAAGTGGAGGGCGACATTGAGCAAGAGCACATTCCTGGAATAACCTTCACCGAATTGGATGCCTTGCGGCAGAAAATGGGAGAAGTCACACAGACATTGAAAGGTTAGCCCGTTGCTGCGGCCTCGTATGGTGCAGGTCGCCGCTGTCAGCAGACTTGACCTTTGTGCTTGGCAATGCTGCAGGTGAGGTGATAGAGGTCAGCAGGGAAGTTGACATGACTCCCATCAGGAAGAGAGCAAAAATGGCGACTGCACGCTCTGCCTTTGGCCGCACAGTGCGCTCCTTGCCTCAAGATCGTGAAGAGATGGTTGACCGCCATGAACTGGGGGGGTAAGCAGTTTCGCTGAGCTGCATGTAGTTTGTCGTTTATTGCAGATGCGCGTTGCAGTCACAACCTCACTTTGGCGGTTCAGTTTGTTATGTACCGCTATTTACATATTTTTATGCTCGTGACGTGTGACCAGATCTCAGGAGACGCCATCATTCTACGTCCGTGCCGAGAATGTGTGCAAGGCGGTGGACGTCATGGCCTCTCTATTGGAATCGATGCGAAATCAGCACACAAATAATGGCAACAGCAGCCCCAACAATCGGCTCAAGGCCCTGACAACCACAGGCCTTGGAGAGGAGGAAGCAGGTTGCAGATCAAGTATCTCTCAAGTCGAGACGTGTTCCACTGCCAACCAAGCTTGCAGAGGTGAATGTTGCATCCCTTCCAATTTGGTGCAGGCAAGACGGGCGTGCGGGACTCATATTTTCTCTGTTGCTTCGCTGTTCCATCGCTTTAGTTGTTTGGTGAACCGGTTGGTATCGCACGTATCTTGTTTCAGCGGGAACCCAGCGTGAAAGTGTCACTATTGTTTATCGGTGCACAATACAGCCAACAGGTGGACCCGTGCTTGCATGTAATAGTTGTCGTTGCAGTGCATGCTAACTGCTGCCACGTGAAATAGTGTTGCCCATCCGTGCTCCTCTGGGTCAATTGAGACGCCGGAGACAGCAATGCAGAAGGAGTCCTCTTGTCGCTTCCTAGCGTCCATGGAACGGGTGATTTCACTTCTGCACCATTGCAGAGTTGCTCCAATGCAACTGCAAGATGTACATAACGGTGCCTAAGCACGCTGCAAAGTTCTGGAGTGAAGACATGTGGCATGTACTAACGGGTGGTAATGGACATATATCTCAGTGGGGTCACTTGTCATTCCAAGCAACTACAGCTCAATTGCGTCTTGCTCGATGATTGTCGTCTTCCCTGCATCTATTCGAAACTCTCAGCGCTGCCGGCGAGAAACTTCCATGCTGATGCTAGCATTCTTACCTCTTTCTTCCAAAGCCTTCGTTGCTGGGGAATGATTCCTGTCGCCAACGCCATTAGTATGTTTCAATGAAAAAAGTTGCCAGAGGACTCGAAAAGAATTATGCATGGCATTGGACTGCTGTTGGTGAGCATCCTGGCGCGGGTACGGTCGTTCAGAGAGCAGAAAATGCGTGTTATCCTGCTCAGCATTGTGGAATCCAATCTATCAGAATGCACAATACGTGAAGGCAATGGGATAGTCGCCAGGTCTGCAATCCGCTCAAGGAATGCTCGACATATGTGCTTCCGCACAGCGCTAGTCAGCCTTCCAACTCATCGACTGATGAATCACTTTTAGAAAGGGCAAGGGGTGAAATTGGTGAAAAGTGCGTCAACCCTTTCACTATAGGAGCATCAACTGTGTGGTGCAGTTGATGCTCCTTCCAATCCCCAGCAGCGTACTGAAGGGGGTAACGAGGCGGCCGAAGGACCAGGAATCTGCAGCAAGAACGCGTCGACGGAGGACCCTTGTGGCAACGCTCGCGATCAAAACGAATCAACCGGCAGCATTGCTTCGCAGCCGGGCGGCGCGGCAGAGGGACCCGCAGGGACAACTGGCGAACCTGGTGGTCCTTGGCCTGGGCAGGCGCCATCTCCTGCTTTCATGACAGGCACATCTCGCCCGGTCATTGTCCGTTTGAATCAGCCAAGGAGGTTCCGTGTGGATAGCCGTTCGGCAACGGGAAGGGAGGATGACGCGAGCGGGGTGGCTCCCTATCTCCTGCCATTGTCAACTTACATTGAGGGCGAAGAGGTGCCTTTGTGCAAGCGAAGGTGGGCCGGTTTGACCGAGCAGAAACTGTGATAAAAGTTTGTTGGAGACGACATCGTTGCGACCACCTATTCGCTGAGAGCATGTGGTGATCCGAGTGTGTCCAATGCCTTTCACCAAGTGCTTGTAACAGCACTAAAACGCATTCCGTTCTCCACTCAGCTGGTGATACCTGGATCCCTATGTGTACTAGATGTGTGCGCTAGAGCCTTTCAGGTATATCTCGACACGAAAAGCCGTGTTCAATCTGTGCGGATAGTTGAATGGCCGGCTGTCCTGGCGCCCCTCCTGGCTTTCCTTGCTTCGGCGCACAATAAATTGACATCTGTGTTGGATGCACATCAGGGCACAGCTAATGCCACCAATAAGCAACGGGAAGTTGCAGCGAACATCCTTCTCCTCAGGCCCTGCCATCCCTGAGCGAAATTCGTGGGCGCCGTCGCCACGCTCCCCCAGCCCTTTGTGCTGGGTTGATAGAAGTTCGGGAATCGGAACAGGGGCAGCAGCTGTCGACTCGTCAGGACGACCAATCATGCTGGAAGCCAGGCGTCAAGATCATTGCTCAGCCAGCGACAAGGTTGCGGGAAAATGTGCAGAAGGGCACTTGTTCGAGCTGAGCAGGAAAGACAGCCATCAAATGGGAAAGGGCGCAATGGCGGGTGAGCGACTGCACTCACGTGCGTTGCACTTTTGACGCAAGCCCTGGTGGCGCCTCTCTGCCCATGTGCTTGTTTGCGGGCCTGATGGCGACCGTTTCCCCAGCACACTCTGTGTGGGAGAGCCCTTGACTGTGCACAGCTGGGGCAATGATGCTCGCCGTCGTATAGGTGTGGTGCGCAGCAACAAACAGGCTATGTCCTCGTCTTGCAAGGCCTGAAACCGTGGTCAGCGCGCAAGTACTGAGAAAACAAAAGCGGCTGCTCGATACATCAGTCAAATTACACACTCTCGCTGTCGTGGGAATATAGGGTTCGTCCCATCAGTCTCCGCTCCAGCAAGCAGCAATGGCCTCTTGCCACCTGCCGCAGGTCCCATCTCAGCTACAGGCCAGACAATCTAATATGTCCCCAAAACGGATACACAAACTACAAGTCAATATTGCACACTACTGCAGAGTACAACACTCCACTACGCTCGCGCCCTATCCACTACATTGTGCCGCTTGAGCTTCCCGTTCTTCGTGGGAGGAAAACAGATCCGGCAGCGCCACACACCATGCTCACATTCAACACCGGTGAGCTTCCTGGTCTCCCTGTCTTCGAACTGCAGAAAAATAGAAGGAAACCACTGAAGAGGCGAATGGAATGCGTTCAGAAAGTCCTCCCCCGTCAATGAATGCAGCAAGCCGGATGTTTCATTTCCGGTACTCCATCGACAACAGTTTTTCCGTGCACCAGCAAGCATCCTTCAACCACAATAATCTGAATTCGGCCCCCAGGGTTACAGGGGATTCCTGCTGTTTTCGATTGTTCAACCCCCTGCACGCTTCTCCGCATCACGTTTGCATGGAACGATGCAAGCTTCCTAGTCTCCCCTTCCTCAGACAGACGTGAAAGGGGACCACTGAAAAGGACAAAATGGAACACAGTCAGAATGTGCTCCGAGCTCAGAGGTGCTGGTTCATGTGAGTTGTTTTACATTGTGCCCATTCGAAAAGTTCTAGTGTTGCCCACACACTCAACATTTGAAGAAGGCTGCTAGACTGATCCAGGGCAGGCAGTATTGTGCAGAAGCACTCCCACCAAGCCAGGTGCAGTCACGAGTTCATCACAAAAGGGGAAGAAGCTTGGTGGCCTTGGGAATGAGAAGCCAGGGTACATTTTCTCTGCAGATGCTGCAAGTTGTGCCTGTGGAGTGTGCATGCTTAGGACATCTTTAGCTAACAGGCAGATGTAGTTGTCATTTAGTTTACACAATCGCAAAATCGCGGACAGCTCACCTTCTTTTCCTCCTTTGCCGCCCTCTTGCTTCTGCCATAGAAAGCACGCTCCATGCGAAATGCATGTGCAGTTTCAATCCTCTCCTGCCATCAAACACCCCCTCAGACCACATTGTGCCATTTCGCGCAACAGCGTTGGTCTCAGTATTGAACTGACGCCCTTGGTTGCACTAGATGCATAGCGACAAGCCAACGCCAGACCAATTTCTAACTCGGCTAGGCAAACAAACGAACACCTCCAAGTCCACTACAGCTGCCGATCCGTCAGCTTTGGAATGCACAACAGGAAATGTGTTCGTCAGGGACCCATCGCACCATCTTCTTCTTCTCCTTCTGCTCCCTTTTCAAAGCCTTGGCCGCTGCTCTGACCTCTGCTTCTTTCCGCTTGGTTTCAGCCAGCTTGTCTGCATGGCAACACCTGCCTCAGTCCCCGTCGCCCAAAATTCTGGTGGTGAAACTTGTCGGAACAGCAATGACATTGTACTGACATTGGCTTATCGATGTCCACAAGGTAAAGCAACAAGCGCTTTGTGCGCCCTGGAGCAAAGTCAAATTCGAGTCCACTTCTCATCTTGCGCGTGTCATGCATCCAGCTGGGTTGTGACTCTCAGACAGTACAACAACTCCAAGTGTCTCAATGTCCTTCGGCTGCTCCCATTCTTTGCGACTTTAATTCATGGAAAATGCTCCACCCTGCACAATTGCATGCAAATCCCCTACCTTTAGGCTTGCTTGCCGGCTTCTGATCACGGCGCACCAGCATGTGGCGATACTCCTCCGACGCCTGCAAGCAGAACATGTTTTCAAGTTTCGCCAGTGCATTGACCGAAGCTACGGGCCGCAGGCGAGTGTCCTCAGCAGCATCAGACCCACCGTCACGCTCCAGGCCTTTACGTTCATCATCTTCGATGGTCGAGCTGGCAACCTGCAACAGCGCAGCACATTTGAAGAGGCTGGCACACCAATTCAAGAAAGGCCACGCATGCCATTGGGTAACCAACAATCAGTGCGGGGCTGTCGGCGGTATGACGCGGAATCATGTCGGATCCGCCACCAGCATGGCGTCATTTTTTTAATTTCTTTGACTTCGAAAACCAGAGTCCGATAAACCAACCGACAACCAAATTCGGCGTCTGACGGTTGGTGTGAACCGAGTCCCCTTGGCGGCATAGTGTGGAAGACATGCAGGAAGTGGCCCAAGATTCTGTGATGGCCCCCAACCCTGCCGAGGTGACGGCCATCGAACAGTACCGTTGCTCGGCGCAGGCGGGACTGCCGCGGCTCGCATTGCCCACGGCCGTCCCCTGCAGTGGGCAGACACCCCCGACAAGGCCAACAGCTCAGTGACAACATCCGTGCAGGGAGTGCCCCTGGAACTCTGGGCGTTGCCCATCGCTTCCCCTTCCACGCGCCAACAAATGGGGCCGCGACTGCAATCTCAACGCCACGAAACCCGGGCGTCGCGACGCCCGCGGCAGAAGGGTCCTACCCGCGCGACGGCAGAGACATGGCGGGACACCGTGCAAAGAGAGAAAGCAGGGGTGGGGTGGGGTGGGGTGGGGTGGGGAAGAGAGAGACATAAATCTTGGGATGGCAGGCAGCGACTGCTCATGAGCTGCGCATGGTCTCAAAACGACACAGCGCCCGAGGGAAGGCGCCACGACAGAGCAGGGTATTCTCCACCCGTTTGTGTCGCCCGGAGTCTGCGCAGGACAGAACTAGAGACGGGTCCGCACGCCGTCCCTGGATGTGACCAGGAGGGAGGGTACAAGACAGGGCATATCAACGGTCTGAAAGAAGCGTGAGGATCCAGCTGCGGCGGCATCGAATCATCCAAGACGAAGCGTGTTCCTTCCGAGGTGCCAATGACCGGTTACGGAGGGCGTTCTAGGACACAGCGCTCAGGGGCAGGTCGGCGATCCATCTGCGGGTAGGGTATTGGCCGTCCCAACGAAAGATTGGCACGAGATGATGCGCGAGCGAGGCCCGCTAAGGGCGCTGGGAAGCGATGCGAAGGGATGGGCGCCCTCGTGCGCTCGACTTGGACGAGCTGGGGCTGGCGCCGTTGCCCTGCCGCGGCCATCGCCAGCACACTCCATCCGTCGTTCGGGCACGAACCAGGAACTGGGACGCGCCGACCTCACGCGGCGCTCCATTCCACCGAGATGAACGAACATCCAGTCGCCCAATGCGCACCGCATTTGGGATCAAGGACCGCTTCCACCGACAACACCAAGCACTCGCGCGGCAGGCTGTCGAGAGAAGCATCTCGAGATGGGAATCGACGCAACCAGCACGTCAATCGGCACCGGGCCGACGCTTCGCGGCATCGACCCTCCCCAAAACGTCCCTCACCGGCGGTAGTTGGGCTCGGCCGGCCTCCCGCGGCTCCTAGGCTGCTCCGGACGGCCGCCAAAACCCTGACTGCTGTTGGAAAGAGCCAAGCGGCGGGTGGAAGACACTGCGCCCTAGCAGGCGCTTTGGAGGTGGGCTGGGCCGTATTGCGTGGGCGCCTCGTCAGCGCGGGGGCGCTTGCGTGGTCTTTTCTGCGCGTCATGAGCGCGTACCAGGCGTCCAGGTCACGCAGTGGCTGCCGGGTTGATGGTGTTCCGAGGCCGCCGATTGGATGCGACAGATTGTGCGGTGCGCCCCACCTTGTGCCCCCGATGCGCTCTTCGATTGGGAGTGACGGGAGAGCGGTTGGAACAGCCCAACAAATGAGCTCCGCTCGGGCAAAATAGGAATCTGACGGCTACCTCATTGCTATGTAAAACAATGATGAAGCCCCACAAATTCTGCGCTGGCATTTGCTGGCCCAGCGTAGCAAGCAACAACAGATTGCAACAGGCAGCGTTTTGCAAATTATTCGCGAATGAGCAAATGCCCCAAATTAACAAATTAACACGTGCTCCCCAAAGCAAGGGAAGTGATGTGGGACTTGCTGCATCGTGGCTGAACTGCATGTTCAAGCAAGCGGCCAAGACGAGGGCGTCACCGCCGCCGCCCTCCACGGTCATGGCGGCACCAGACGCCGGCCTGCAGGACTGCCTGGCCCTGCTGAGGGGGCCGTCGGACGAAAGAAGGTGGCAAACCCGCGCCCCATTTCTGCGCGCGGTCCGCAACACAAACTGGCGCCTTTGATCCCGCCCGGGCTGCCGCGAACTCGCGTGCGGCTGCATTCCTCCTTTGCTTGCTTTGTCTGCCGGATTCGAAGATGGCTTTTCAAAAGGCAGTTTCAGACTCGCACCCTTGCGGGAAGCCCAGATTTGATCCCTGTGCTCGGTGAACTGAATAAAATCGCCAACGCAGTGGTCGAAAATTCTGGTCGCGTTGATTGTCAAATCAGCGCGCGTCGCGCCTCGCAGTCCAAAATACCTTCCGTGTAAAATGCGTAAGCGATGATGAACAGCTGCGTGCCGCCCAACGGTGCGCAGGAGTCCCCTGCAAGGCAATTGATGTCTGCGTGCGTCGACAATTTGCTCCTCCAGATTCGTTGGATTGTTGTTGGCCACAAAGCTGCTTCCTGCTGGAGGGGAGGATGCTGCCGTTGCCATCTGGCAGTCCATCGGGCCAAGGTTCCTGAGGAGAATGCTCCTTCCAGTAGGAGGTGAGAATCGGTTCTTTTATTGTGTTTTGTGGTGACCCCTCTCCTCTGGGAGCACGTCCAATTGTGCGTCTGCGTCAAGTGAGGAGTGATGGTGACAAGGTTGCCGTTAGGCAGGTTTGGCAGCACCCACACTGCGGAAGGCGGTCGGATGCCATTTACTGTATAAACTGGGATGAAGCTCCGCATGCTTTGCTCACTTGCAGTAAAAAAGCAACAGGGAATTAAAGAGCACGATTTTTGTGACTGCACCTGACACAATGTAGTCTGAACAGACCTGAACTGAGCTGAACTGATATTATGTGCAGCCTGCTTAGAGGAACATAAAGCGACTTCATGCTAAACATAGCTTTGCTCAACAGTGTATCAACAAGAAGCAGTGTAGTGTGGGAGCACTGTAGCCAAGTGCTTTCATCAGTAAATATGTTGAAAACCTTACCTGTGGGAACTTATGCACAAACTCCTCAGTGATGCCTTTGATGGGTCTGTTATGAGCACAAACAGGCGAAACCCTTGTCCACCCAGAACAAGGGTGGTGCAGACTCTGCAGAAGCCTCTAATCGTAACGCAAAATTTGTCTGCAAGGGATTGAACAGTGGTGGATAGCAAGTGCTAAGGGAACCCACAAGAACAGGTGCAAAAGCCAGAAATTGCCTGCACTGCATATGAAGAACTGTCCCAAGGACCCAGTATTGCCCCACACTACAAGTTTGACTCCCCAGGTGAATCCTTTGTTGTCGCTTTTGTCACAAAACATGACAGAGCACTGCCATCGCATCTGTCAGGCGATGATGGGCAAAATTCATAACAAACAGTATTACCTTTCTGCTGAATGGTATTCCTGTTCCCCACTGGACCAGCGATGTGCGGGGAAGGAAAGGAAGAAAGAAACTCTTGGAGCGCCCACAGGGGAAGGGCAATACAATTAAATGTTGGAAAATGATACGCCCAAGGAGCCACAAAAATCCTGCAGAGAGTAGAGGAGTGGAAAGAGGAGGGAAGCAAGCTATGCTCTTTCAAAACCAGCCAGTGATGGCACCACACAGATGTCACTCAACCAATGGAAGGGCCACCTGGAAGTAGACAAGAAGCCACAAGAACAGGCCAAACATTTGAGTGCCTCTGCAAGCTAGGTCTTGACAACCAAGGTCAACTCTCTGACTGGCCCTGCTCAGAAATGTGGCCAAGCCACAAACACTAGGCACAGGCAGGTGGCATGGGAGAAACATGATAGCCAGGGGATCATGCTTTCCTTGATTTGTGGATGATGCCACATATGGGCTTCTTGACTGTCGAACATGCCGGGATGGCATTAGGCTGGCATTGTGTGAGGTTCCGATGCTGATGATTTCCATGACATGGCCTGCAAATCGTATCTGGCTTGTTATTGACAATTCTGGTGCATGAAGATATCAGCTTGCTCATTCCCACACGTCTTTGGTCACTGTTGGTTACAGGTCCCGCTGCCTGTGGCCCTGAACCTGCGGGCAGCACCCTGGAAATGCAGTTCATGACTGTCAGCTTGGCTATGGCGGTGTTGAGCAGCATTTGTCAAGTTGACAGGGTTGCCCAGTCACCAGAACTGCTGGAGTTTGTTCCAAGCTTTGTTCAGGTGTGTGCCAAGGATTGTCTAGCTGCCAGCCTTGACGGATGGCAGTACATCAACATCCTGTCCATGCACTGATGAATTCATGATCACAGGCACAAGGGAGCCAGACTCGATGGAATCTGTTGCACAATGAGCGCAATGTACCAAACAAGGAAAGTTTCCAACCATGGTGACAGGATGCTTGGACAGCTTGTTACCAGTTAGAGGTGCACTATTGTAGTTGCAAGACATGTGCTCTGCCTAAAGTGGAAGGAGCAGGGGACCTGTGCCATTGGCACTCAGACAGTTCTACCAGTTGTACCTACGTGGGATATGCCCTGTATGCATGGGTGCAGTCAGTAGACTGATGGGTCTTGCATTGAGCTTGTATCAGGTGTGGAAGATGAAGCAGCGATTGAAGAAATGGGCTGCACAAGGGACATCAGATGGCATGGTGAGCATGAAAACCGTATTGGCTGTATAGTTTGAGCTGAAAGGCTAGGTACAGTTGATTTGTGTGCTGCAAACGCAAGGTTATAATCCCAACCTGCATTGCGATACAAAAATATGGCTGCACTCTGCAATTCTCATGTCACAATTGGCGGCTGCAATACTGCCCTGGCACCATCACCTTTTGTATCAGTGTCCTCGTTCACCTCTGGGTTATTGGCAGTGTTTTGGACATTGCCTTGTTTGTGTGCGAATTCACTGCAGTTGCACAATATTTCTGTTCTGAAGTTCATTGGAATATTTCAGGAAGGTAATGGTGTACAGCATGTACTGATGGATTCCCTGAGGTGCCTATCATTGGTGGCATCGCGGGGTGAAGCTGGGCGGAGAAAATGCATGGAATCGGGAACTCTTGGGATTGTTGTCAGCATTTTGAAGGTGAGTTTTAGGATGTCCCTATCCAGAAGGCCAGCAGTGGCTGAAGCCTGGCTGTTAAGCTTTGGATTGTTGCTGTTGCCAATGATGCTTGTTTCATTTCCATAGCTGCCTGCAGGTATCATGCCTTGTGTGCACACTCTGTGGCAAGACACTGGCATCCATCAAAGGTTTGTGCACTGTGTGGTGCCTACCAGGCTTGACACAGTCGTGGTTGGTGGCAGGATGATGAGTGCCCAAGGCCTCAACAGCTCGCTTGCGTGAAGATCGCGCAGGCGCTCCTCACAGAGCGACCAGATGCCAGGATGGAGGTTATGCAGGGTAGGTTGCGGTGGGCCACTTCATCTTGTTGCGGGCAGGCGTTGTGTATGCACACCATTGTGTCCTTTATGCCTGCTGCTAGGAGCGATTGGGGGGGGGGTATGTGATTTCAGCACAAATGGCTGCTGCAGAGCGCTGTTCTTGGATTCAATTGTGTAACAATGATTGGTGGAACTCATTCATTCAGGTTGCAGTGAGGAGTTAGCAGCCCTTGTCCCTCTCCTTGCTGGACTTCTTGCTGGTCACACAACAGCAGCTGTCTCCAGCACAGAACATGGCGGGCCCAAGGAAGAAGATCCTGCCGTGGTGCAGTTGGAAGTGCTGCATTTTATGCTGCTCATTCTGCCAGTGCCTCTACCCCAGGTTGGTATTCTGCTCCACACATTGGGTCAGTGGTGCAAGTGCCGTGTGTGAGCCGACTCACATTGTGCCACATAGATAACATGTTGTTTAGTCATTCTTCCAGTCCTGTTTGGGTCCTCTGTCAGGTGAAAGTCAAAGCCAACATTTGTCAGAGGTTCCTCTGTTGATTTGCCTGTCCTGCTGTGGTAAATCAACGTCCACTAGCACGAATGCCGTTGGTGCCATTTTTGCATGCCATAATTGCCAGATAACTTTGCTATTGCCAGAGTTTTCAGGATCTGTGTGAAGTGCTTGTTTACTGCCCAGGCTGAGAGTCTGCATGCGGCTCTGAGACGACACGGAGAAGAAAACTTGGAGGGCTGGCCTTCACTGGTTCGCACTGGCCTTCATGCAATCTTGAGGACCAAAACAAGCCCAGTGCAGCAGCACTCGGCACTCCAGCTGGCGGCTGCCATGATTGATCTTTTGGGCGCCCGCTGGTTGCTTGAACTGTGTGTGCCCACAAAGACAGTGGACCCTGGAGGCCAGTTTGTGCAGGTGTTAGCACAGGTTGTGAGAAGGGAAACTGTCCTTTTGCTCATGGATGCCAAGGCCCCGCAACAGGCGGTGCCTTCTGAGAGTGCACGGTCTTCATGTGCAGCAGAACCCAAGGTGAGAGGCTGTCAGATCATGTTGAGGATTGGTAACCACAGGTGTTTGATGCTTGAATCATTGTGTTAAATTCTGTATTTATTTTGACGCTCAAAATGCTGCCATCTGCAAAGATGTAGGCTGCTGCAAGCCAAGAAGCCATGTAGTTGTGGGTAGAGGAAGTTTGCAGGCCCATCCAGGTGTATGCCTGTTTAGATAATGCTGCACAGAGTTTTCCGCTCTGGATGCAGACTCTGTGGAGATGGCCACGTTGATTGCTGCTGTGGATGGCTCAACTATTGTACCGTGTGTGCAGGACACAGACAACACCTGCGATGCCAGTACCTCATCCTTGCCTTATTCCGCCCAAGCAGAACCTGACGTTGACCATTTTCATCCATGGTTGGGGCCTTCGAATGATATGAGCTCATCAGAGAGTGAAGATGGACATGAGTCCACAGGACGTCCACTGATGAGCACATCAAATGGCCGCTCCCAACTTGCAACAATGTCAGCTGGCACAAGAGTATCTCACATGCTCCCCATCTGCTTCCTCGTGCTTGAAGCATTGGTGGATGTTCTTTCAGAAGGGACAGAATCCACAGATGTGGTGGTTGACATGGAATCATATGCTCAGTGTGCTTTGTTGAGTGAGGACTTGGCCAGCAAAACATTTGAAACTGTGTGTGATTGTTTTGGGGAGATTCTGGAGGCTCTGATAGAGCTTACAGGCAATGCGAACTGGTTCAAGGACAATGTTGGTGGCCTAGATAGAAACATGTTTGTGTTGGCTTGTGTTCGTGCACTGGGGTCCTTTCTTGCAGCATCGCCACTTGCGCATGAGAAGGCTCTGAAGGAGCTGCTGCCAATTTTGATGGATATGCGAAGCAAGACAGGATGGGAAGATGTTGGAGTGCAGTTTTTGATTCCTGCATTCCTGCAGCTAACAGGTGAGGCTGTAGTCTTTCATGTTGCAAGAGCATGCCATGATGCAGGAGTGGTTGGGAGCCAATCGAGGATCTGGGGCCAATGTTGAAAGAGATGGATGGCAAGATGCATGAGACAAGGGTGTTTGATGTGCCTTGTGGCATGTTTCCTCTACACCCATTCTTGCCATAAAGCAATAGGTTCAAAAGCCGTCTTGCCAGTTGGTTGGGGTTGTTGTTGAGTCTTATACATAACGGTTACCTGATAGGCATGTTTACAAGGCTGGAACAAAACAATGTACACATGCTACAGAAGGACCAGACAACTTTGGGGCAATCCATGCTCGAATGGATCTGGTGCTGTAGAACTGGTTTGAACTGTGGTGCCATCATGCCTCTGTGGGTGGTAAATCATGTGTGTGATGAATTTGAAGACCCAAGGAAGGCACTCATGCTGCACCCATTCGTTTTGTTGCAATGCCCAGCAATGTGTAGTGGTTCATTCGTTACTGACTTGCTCCCAAGTTTGGTGCAACTGGATCCAATGCTCCGTGTTGTCCTTAGGGCATCCAGTGATGCAAAAACTAACCCAAACCTCCCATAAGGTTTGTCCATGCTCCAGAGTCAGGATATGGGCAGAGATGCTAACGGTACATTGCCTTGTTAATCAAATGTAGTGGATGTTTTCACACAGCACTCCAAGACGCAACCCCTGCTGACATGTATTAGCATGCCTGCCACACAAGTGCTTGAATGCTGACAATTGGTTGTGTGGGCTGGCTGTGAAGCAGCATTTGGTGCAGTGTGGAACTCACAGCAACCAGCAAGGCACACTACACACAAGGGCTTCCCCCCTGGCAACGCATCTGGTGCTCAGTGCCCAACTTCTGTTGTGGAGATTTGGATGCAGAGTGAAATTGATAACTGGCAGAGGAATACAGCAATGTACCCAATTCAAGTTCATTTCTAAATTGCCCTTGTGATGTGATTGACCAGATCCTAGGAGAGGGGAAGATGCAAAAGGCTGGGTGGCCATGATTGCGGAGCCTGCAGTCCTCACCCTTTTTGTGAACCACACCTATGAGATTGTCACGTCGATTACAAATGCCATGCAGGAGAGCCCCTACCGACAGTGGCAGATTGTGTCACTCGCAGAACATTTCGCCATTCTGGAGATGCAGAATGTGGATGCGGCAGTCCATGCGTTGTGGCTTTTGTGTAACGTTTGCAATCAAGTAAGTCCCTCCACAACCAAGGAAATTGAACGCCTGAGGTCAGGGAATATGGGGAGCAGAAGCATATGGTCAAGCCTCTGGACAGCTCTGCTGCAATTGGCACATTTTCCACCCAACTACTGTCCAAGCCCTGCCGATGCCATGCACAAGCCCACCGTTCTTCCACCTCAGCTGTCCGTGTCATTGCTTGTGGCATGTGCTTGTTTATTGTCTTCAATGCTTCGTTATCTCTGTTGGCCGGGAGAGGACATGGAGGGCACTCTATCTGGCGAGTTTGGGAGCGCATGGTATCTGGTGCTGGAGGGCCTGCAGGCTGGAGCTTCAGGTGGGGACTTTAAATCTGCAGGCTGCTGCAGTGTTTCTTTGAGAATTTGGATCCTAAGGTTGTGGTAAAACACTGACTGCTGGGAACAGCCATATTGTTGAGTGCACACTGTGCCCTCTTTTTTAGCGTGAATTGTGATATTGTTAAGATGAGTTTGTTGGTCTATAACAAGGTTGAGCAGTTCAGCAGACTGAGAGGTACTTGTGTGTCGTTGTGCTGCCAGATTTCCTTGGGTGTGAGGACACTGGGGACTCTACGTCCGAGGATATGGTTGCATGGCGATGGGCTACAGAGAACGCTACCTTCTTGGTGCGGCATAATTCTGCCATGTTGAAGACAGCAAAAGGGGTAAAATGGATTCAAGATATGGCCTTCAGCAGAGGGAAGGCCATGTGCAAGCTCAAGGGTGATGATGGGGGTCTGCTGGCTGGGTTCTTCGGCACCATCCGTGCTGGATGAAGTGAAAGATGCGATGGTGGCAGTTTTGGCAGTGACCTATGTAAACTCACAGGAAACGATATGAGTTCATACCCATCTAGACTAGGAACTGGTATCATGGCCAAGTGTTGTGGGATTAGTAGCACTTAGATGTAGTGTCTTTTGTAAAACTTTCGCTGTTCATCATAACCAGCCTTTACACATGTGTGTCACATGCGTTGCATGGCCCCAGTAGGCACTGTTTGCAGGGGTGCAAATAAAAACTGAATCGCATTCTTGAACACGATGGACAGGGACACTTGTGCAGACATCCTTTGCAGAGTGCCGCAGGACAGCAGGAAATCCGGGCAACAGGAAATAACTAAGCGAAGTCAGTGAAGCCCAACCAATTGGGCAGTTGGTGCCCTGAAGTGCAGTGTGATTCATCGAAATTCTTGTCCTTGGTGTTGCACACCAGTGTGCGACAAGCACTCGACAAAGGCAATATTGCCCAGACCCAATGCTCATGTCATCCACAGGAAGTCATGGTAGTGTCCATGGAACGCTGCTTGGACCAACTGTTCGAGTGGTCAAGCTGTCTTTTGAGGCTTAGCCTGGCGTAACACAGGGAGTGAGGCTTCTGATTTGCTGACGCTGGGTGCCTTCGTTCTCCTGCTGTCCATGTAGCTTGGCTTGGTCTTCCATCCTCCTGGAGGCAGGATGGGGCCCACATCTTGCACTGGCAGATCTGCAGCGGGGGGTCCATAAACATCCTCATACCAGTGTTGTGGACCACGATTCTCAACTGGCTGAGAGTCCAAGCCAGGTGGGGTGTTTGGGGCACTCCCCCGTTCACCTTTCTTGGCATTGTACGGCACCAATTTGTTGTGTGGGATGTGCGGCCCTGGTTTGAGATCAAGCTTCTCCAGGGGTCGATCGCATGCCTGCGGGAGCAGAACAACTGTTTCAGATTTGGGGTCTTGGTGCAGACGACGTTCCATTGTGCGAATTGGCGGAATGAGGTCTCTCACGAGCCGCATCAGCTCAAGATGAGGAACAGCCAGAGTGCTTACCATGCACTTGTACCCCATCAGAGGCTTTGCTGACAGCATGGCATAATCCCCCGTGGGCATTGCTCCCATCAGTCGCTGCAGCGGAGGTTGTTTGGTATCCTCATGCTGCCCAATGCCCTTCAACCTGCAGCACCAGTGCCATCACACCAGCGCTACTTTTTCTTCAAGACATCATGTTCTAGTGCTGAACACTCACGTTTGAATGACCGAGAAGCAGCCATACAATAGCAATTTGTGGCTGTTGGCTTCCATGCCACACAGGGAACCCTTCTTTTCATGTACCCTACCTTTGGGTAAGTGCTCTATATCATTCCTGTAGAGCTCGGCAACACCTGCATCACCTGTATTACTGGACACATAGCCTCACAATGAATGTTTTGCTCTGGATTGGGTGCCCATTGCATGCCATGTTTTGCCTTCTGTCAGTAAGGCAAGGGTCACCTAGATTTGAGGTCCCGGATCTCACTCCACAGCCTCCTTATGTCCCTAGCGTAATCTTTTGGTTGCGCCTGTGTGTCAGACTGTGGCACGAATGGCGACTGCGTGGCCCCAGAAGACCGCACAGCCTTTTCGATAGCTGACAACCTGCAGGCCTGCGCAACCCCATCGCATCAAAGCACTGACATTCCATGTTGTACTGCATTGAAAAGTACCTCACAAAATTGTTTGCCAAACTCGAGTTTGCGCCTATAGCAACACATGTGATCATTTCTGCTGAACGGGCAATCGTTGCTTGAGGGTGATAAAAATCCAATGCAAAGACTGCACTCTGCTGGACATTGTTTGCTGGTGGGTCAGACTGCCTGCCCTTATTGCCCTAGTGTGTCAACGGCTAGTGCCCACCCTCGTGCACTGACCATTGTGGCAATCTTAAAACGCGGCACAGAAAATTGACCTTTGGAATGGACACGTGGTAGGCACATCATCCGGCCAGCCGGCACTCACCATCCTGTTCAGAGCTTCCGGGTCGAAACTGTCCATCTTATGGCTGACCTCACCATTCTGCACGAGGTTTTCAATCGTGCTTAAAGCAGATCTGTTCCTCCCACCGCCTCTAAGTTGAGGCACCGGACCCTCATCTGCAGCGTCTGGGGCTTGGTGAGGCACTATTTTGCAGTCAGAATTGCAACAACATGCGTTCACTATTCACTATCTGAATGTTACTTCCCTCTGGGGCCGTTGCACCATGGACTTCCGTGCACAATTTGCTTTCGATTTTTTCGTGGCTTTGCTTGAGCGTGGAGGTTGCGTGTCCTATGCACATTTTGACCATTTGAGTGCGCTGTGCTGGTTGTACAGGAATCACTCAGTATGTACGCGGAACAGGATTTCGTATAGAAGAGAAAGGAGCACGTCTGCGGATGTCTCCCACGAGCAATGAACAGCACATCACAGGGAAATGATGCTGATGCATGTGCTGCTGGACTACTGAGCTGGAGACATGCTCGGCTGCAAGGCCACTCAACAGAGAATCCCTGCTGAGCTGACATTCCAAATCGGAGTTTATCATGGCAACCTCATTTTGTATTCATGGCCCGCTCTCTAGTTTAAACACTGTCTGGTAGTTCCAGGGTCAATACTGGCAATAGATGGCCCGAATCACGACGAAGTTGTGTAAGGCATGGTTTCGCCTTGTTGGATCTGTTCAGCCATCAAATCGGCAATGACATTACTCGACACGCACCTTCGTACTTCTCTGTCTGCTCAGGTTGCCCGCCAGACGTATCAGACAACGGACTGCGACCCACGGCCATGGTTATCCCGAGTATTGCCAGTAACTCCGTCGCCTCCTCAAGACGCTGTTGCCAGCAATCCACACCCACATTAACCCTGTGCATGATATTAATATCCGCGAGCTTCTAGTTAGAGGTGCGATTTTCGAACCATGATTCTCATCCCAACAGCCATTGCGACTGTGCATGTCAGATATGGGACGGATGTACGGTAGCCAAATGCCCTAAACATGGAATCCTCAATTCCAACCCTGCCGCGAACGACAACGCAGAACACAGAACTACAAAGAACGCTGTTGCACGGCTGGGTTCCAAAAATCTGAGAAAAGGGCGTAGAAAGTTGTAGGATTCTTTGAACCAGCGAAAGCTGACCAAGATCCTAATGATCCTGGCGTGATCACTTGCAAAAGAGCAAAACTGCGGAAGCCCAACTGTAGCCAAGATGAGTGTGAGTTAAGCCATCCTGAGCAAAGATTTCAGTCTGATGATTGACATCAACTACAGTAAAACGGACCTGGATCTGTGGCTGAAGGCTGTTGCACAGAAGAGCAGGGTCCTCTTCACATTTGTCTAGCCTCGCAAAATTGCCGGTGGTGATGTGTGAACTTCCTTGAGATCGGATGGGTGGGCTTCCCACGCGATTTGTCGACCGCTTCAATGAATCTATGTCTGCAATTGCTCTGTCAAGTCGCCTCCACATGTCTTCCACCTTTCCCTGAGAGTGCATGAAGGCGTTGGTTGTGGGTGTGAGAGCATTTCGTTAGAAAATCTCCAGGGGAGCAGATGTGCATTCAGATCAGGTTAATGGAGGGCCCCAGATTTCATTTTGTTGCTGGGTTGTAGGATTTATTTGAAACAGGCTGCGCGTGTGCCATGAAATCCTGGATTGGGTTGTTATCTCCAGATCCCCCAGTCAGGAAATGTTATCAACACGTAAGATCACATCTACCAGATGCGCAATTTTTATCGCGTGTTGCCGCTCATTTCCATCCACCACTTCCAACTCCCGTTTCCAGCATTGGCCTCCCCCGGCATGGTGGCAAGCCTACCATCAGTTTTTGTATTCCTTCCAGGCGAAGCGTCGATTGGCTTGTGTGGACGATTTCGACAGCGTCGCGTCTCGCTGTGGCAGATTCGTGGTCATCGACACCAGCATCTGACTCTTCTGTTGGACCTGCAGCCATAGAGTTGAGGGCACCGTATGTCCAAGGCAATCTATTTCCACGAGCAGGGCCGGATTCCACTATTCGTACACAGCGAACACACAATGCACCAGGGTTAAATCGCGTGCAACCACAGGTTACAAGTGTTTTCAATTGTTTCCATGGCTTCAAGTTTTGACACGGAGTTTTGCAATGTGCCTCTGCAACAGAAGGGTCAGCAGGCAACGCAACACGTTCCATACTCAGATTTTTCAATACCCGACAAAGGGGGCAAATATCTAGCGCAGCATTCCGTCGTTGGAACACTTGAATCTGACACCTTGGCAGGTGAGAGGCAAGGTTGTTGCCAGTGTTCGAGACCGACCAGAGCTTTGGCCACATGTGAAACAGTTGTTACATCGATAATCCTGGCGGCCATGGTTCAAACCCAATATCCCGCCCATTTCACCGTTATTGAGGTCTTTCAAGGCTTTGGTCTCCAACGAATGTTCAGATAGAATGCTCATCTCACAAGCTCTGTCATGGGGCAAGCAAATCGCAATGACGCTGGAATGACGCAGTGTACACTCTGTTTCATATGGCGCTGCACTCATATGCAACTGCCCATATCGTGATTTGTCATTTCCGCGAGGCAGCCTCAAAGTGGTCGCTGGAGCACTCACCCGCTTGTGCCGCAAGCTTGGCACCAGCCAGACCATCGGTTTTGGATACAGCTTCTGAGGCGCCGCGTGAACCTTGATCCTGGGGACCGGGCGGCATTGACTTAGCAACGCCGCTGCCATACCCCGGTGTCGACGTGTTGGTCACACAGTCCACGTCCGCCAGGCGCAATCCAATGCCGGGCGTAGAGCTCATGGACTCTTTCAGGTGGTCCACGTCTCTCCTCACGCTGTCATGATCGGCCTTGCACACCTACTCGTTCAGGCGCGCAAGACACCGTTTGTTACGGGTAGTTGAGGGCTGTCAACAAAGACTTGGCACTCAGTTCTTCGAAACATGTGCTATCAGATTCCCGTATTGGCAAACATTTCCTTCCAGGCTTCGAGTCCATGGAACACAGCATTTCAGAAATG